CGCGCGCTCGCTCAAGCGCACACACACACACACACTCTCTCTCTCTCTCTTTTTCAAAGAGAATTTCAAATAATAAGTTTAAAAATTTATAATTTGAAACCATGCAATATATATAAATGTAATAAATATAATTGTTATATGCAATGAACAAGCAAATCATAGATACATACGATACAAGCAATCATCACGCGCGCTCGCAAAATATTCTTAAAATAATTATTGTAAATTTATAAATTTTATATAACATATCATATAAAATAATCTATGTTTTATTTTTAATATAAATACTATCAATGCTACCATCAATACTAAAAAATTTTAATAACAATTTTTAAAGACATAAGACATTAAATTTAATTATACTTTTTATATAAAATATATATTTTTGCAATAAAAAATATCTGTAGGCCAGTATAAATATTAAAATCTATTTTTTTATTTTTTCTATTTTAATTTAATTTTATTTTTTCTATTTTATTTTTATTTTAATATACTGCAGGAAGTTAAAATAAAATATCGCTAAAAGAAATCATATCCTATTTATATTTACCTATATAAATCTAGTCTTTCTCGAGATTCAATTAATACACCTTAGCAATGGTTTAGTATCTGTTAGAATCATAATGTGTTGTAATGACGAACGTCCATGTCAGAGAACTTTACAAAGTATGCCCAATAAAAGTTTCAGAATTGTCGAATAGAACATCGAAATTCTCTCATTAAAGGAATGTAACACAATTATTGCCATAAACAATGTTGAAGTCTCAACAAATTTTTATAAATTATATATTTTTATAAATATTCAAGCACCTTCTGTTCGAATTGTAATATATAGAGTATCTTGTGCTCTATATATTATTTTAATAGTTCATTTTATAACGATTTTTCTTTCTTGTGTTTTGAATAGATAAGTAAAAACTAGTAAAATAAAAATTAAAATAAAAAGACAGTGATGACGCAATTAACAATGATTTAATTTTACAATAACATTTAAACATTCAAAAAATATTTTGAACACATTTTTATGCTATTATTTCATATTTAATTGCTATTGCAATTATTGATTTTATAAGAGAGTTTATTATAATATAATATTATATATAAAAGAAATAAAAATTTCATAAAATGTTTAAATTAAAAATGACATATTTAAAAATATTTTATATTAATATTTAAAATAAATGAAATGTTTTCATGTTTATATTAATAGTGTTTTATTAATTTTAATGTAATGTTATGTAAAAAAGAGATTTATAACATTAAATAACTTTGAATAACTTTTCACTCGAATTTTCAAGAACAATTTTTTACTTAAATTCTTTTATTTCCAATTCTAGTTCACATTATTTATTTATTTTAATTATTATTTATTCATAAAAGAATATAATATTAAGAATTCTTTAAGAATATTACTATTTAGTTTTTATTTTAAAATAATCTTTTAATGCCATCAAAAAATATTTCTTTCGATATTGATAGAAATCATGAAATTATATTCCAAAAATTAAATTTATATGAATATGAATAATGCTTTTAGACAAAAGTTTTTTTAAAAGCGACGTCATGATGACCTCGCACAATAGCATTCAATATAACACGACATAAAGATAAAATAACGCAAAAATTGAAATTAAACAACGAGTATTTTATGTTTCTCCTGAGATTGATTTAACAGATAATAATTATTGTTTGGTCGAATGTAATTCAGGTTTGAACAAAAATTGATCTTTGAACAATTGATTGGCATTCGTGCTAATATCAATCTACGTTTTCTGTTTACTCTGATTCTCTATTTCATTTATTCAGTCCTAGAATTCTCGGACATGTCTGCTAGTATCGTAGAATAATTTACGCGCGATACGTGCGAAGGGATTATTTTAATTAATCGCCGAAGGCGGGCGCGTCCGCGCTCGCACCGCGAATGACAATCATAAGGACTTGATAAAAAAAAAGGGGAAAAAAACCAATCCCAGATTCGTGAGTTAAACGGATTCGGCCGATCGGTCGATCCACGGGCGGGTTCAATTAGTAGGAATGTTGAGAATGCAATTGCATCATGAAAATTTCACCGCGAGAAATCTCAGAATGCCATCCATCAAGCGAACGCCGAAAATAACTTTGAAGGGGATGAAGGAAGATTGGAGGAAACTACCCCGTGTTACACATACGATCTAGCCGTCGTCTACGATCCACGATGCAGATCCGATCAATATGAAACCGCAACGCGCCCATTGGATTCTGACGGATCCTCCTTGTTCTCTTCCTCGTTTTCCTCTTTTTCCTCCTCTTTCTCCTTTTCTTAAGAATTCGCGGTTTCGCACGCGAGATGAGACTTACGTATTGTGACATGATGTCGCTGGATCGGATCACTAGATCGCGGTTTCGCTTGTTGCAGTGAGCATTGCACGGTGTTGACATCATGGCGATTAATCCCTTTTGTGTACGAATTATGTAATTCCAGTTACGAGTCTATATTTTTCAGAAAGTAGAATGCTGCGTTGTTTATCTCCAACATCTGTATCACTTTTTCGTACTGTTTTATCACTTCTTCGCTAATCTCCTATCCCAACATTTTGATATTTGAAAAAATTTTCACTTTATCAATTAAATTAAAATAATAATCACTTGAAACAAAAAAGATAAAGAAAGAAAAAGAAACTATTCCGTTCAGTAGTTCGAGATATAAAGATAACGCGCGACGTACGTAATTACCAAACGAGAACATAAACTCGACGTCGAGCTCGTCGGGAATTGCACTAGCCGGTTCAGCCCTTTACTTCGTGGCAGAGGGGTGGCAGTATGAGAGAACGTCGCGGGGAAGGGATAAACGGAATGGGAGGGAAAGGAAAGCAAGAGACAGGGCGGTGGGGACGATTGAATCCTAGCGTAGGAGGATAGAGGAAAGCATTCGAGGGGAAATGGGAAGGGATATAGAAGGATAAGGATGAGGATATATACCTAGCAGCATCCATAGTAGTAAAAACCACTGTGGTACATTTCGCGGAGCTCCCACGAGGGACAACGAGTGGTGGCGGAGACTGTAACGAAGGATAGGGAGGACACATGACGAGGGGAAAGCGAAAAGAGAAAAAAAGAGAGGACAAACGAGATGGTGTCGGTGGTCTCTAGAAAATTAAAACAAAAAGCATAGGAAAGCACGTCGTGTCGCTGGAAACTGTTTCACATACACTATGACGCGCTCTCTTCCGTCTTCATTTTTCGTCACTCCGCGCTATATCTGTTTTTCTTCCGCTTCTTCTTTTCCGCATTAATCTTTTCTTTTTCCGTAGAACGGAGGTATTTTTATTTCTCTTTCGTCTATTACGAGTGATACGTTATTCGTCGATATGCTTATCATCAAAAATGACGCGCAAAAAGATATTGGTACAGATTTTTTTCCTCTTCACATTGAGCTTTCTTAAGTTTGATTTGAATGTTTTTTTCTCGCGACGTCACTATTGTAAAAAAGTCGAAAATTAAGATTGAGAATATTGAGAATTAATCGATCGATATTGTTAATTAATATTGTATTTGGTTTATCTCGTTTCTTTTTGGATATGGTATCCTTTACTATTCGTCTCTCTTATATTACATTTGTGTTACACTTGATAAATCATTGTATTTTTTATATAAAACTAGACATTACGCGCGTTGCGCGCGCGCTATTTATTTTTTTCAAAAGCAAAAATTAATATAATACTATTATACTACTGTTACACTATGATATTTTTAACTTCTCAACACAATTGTCATAACGATCCTCTGTGAGATCAATACAATGACAGCTATTCACGAAGTTAGCGCAGCAAGAAAACCAATCAGCATCGCGGAAAAACGTTAACAATAAACTTTAGAAAAAATTTCGAGAGATGCGAGTATCGATGCTTTTTTAGAAAGGACTAGCACAATACATG